ACATTCTAATTTCATAGCCCTAAACTGGGTACCTGAAAGTATTTCATTGAATTTGTGTAAAAGATTGTACTACTTCCTAAAAGACTTCGTGTGATATTTGATAGCCTAAAAAACAATGTGCCGATACAGGGTTTCGATTTATTTACGAAACTAATCTGACCAGTTGCTGCATTCTTTGACACCAATTTTCAAGAAAATAAAACTTCTGTATTTCAATTAATTTGAGAGACACGTAGCTGAATATTAACATACGTTCATTATTTAATTACTCGCAATAACGTGTAAGTAAATTCATAGGCAGTAAAACTATTCATACGCCCATATAAATTATAAATATGTAAATTTTAATAAAAGCGGTGTATATATTGTCCCACATGTAGATTTGATAAACTATTTATGAAACTACATCTATTCTGAATTTATCTGTTACAAATATATAAATGGAAGACAAGATATAAAAACGAATATAACAAGAACATGTAAAAAGTAACATTAATAAAATGTCCATTAACGATGTATTTAGAATAAATTATCTTGTAGTTAAGTGAAAAAATATATACTTTTCCGTTTCATGTTTCATGACTGTCATATTTATCCCTTAACGTTAAACTAAAATGGTAACAGGGCTACGTATCCCTATGAACGTGGGACAGAAGAAAGCATTGGATGATAGATCTATTCTATACCTAGTCGGTGTTTATATATACATATTACAGTTAGGACTACAAAAACATTTAGAGTATGCGGCGTCATCAAGCGGTGGATATGTCGTACTAATCCGCCAGTAGCTTGGATGGTTTGTCGTAGGTGACGGCACCATTCGCGTTTTGGCGGTATGTTTGCCATTTTCAGAGGTTGAATTTAGCAGACAATTAATTCTTTCTTAATTAAATATAGTAATATCTTCTGCAGAAAATAGTAATCCTACTACCTCTTACATTCAAACTTAAAGATATAAAGATTTTAAAAGAGGCAAGTGACAATTGTCTTCAACTTCACGTGACTTTCTTTCAATTATAAGGAAGGAACGAAGGACGAAAAAGGTTTTATTACATATTTATTTTGTATTGCTTCTAACAAAGGTTATGACTTTAAAAAAATTCAGTTCAATGTTTAAATTATATTTTCAAACGTTAGTAAATCGTTCCGAATTTTTGTCGAATTAGATCATATGTAGGCATTACAGAATCTAACAGCCTTGAAGTGATCCTTGATGGAATCAATCAACCTTCCAGTATAATCTGTCAGTCTCTTAATACACAATGATCGTTTGGTGCATTATGCTATTTATAGCAACTAAACGAGAATGTACACCTTCTTGGCAGCAGCTCTTTTGGAACGAGGACCCTCTCATTCGTAGCTCGACGCTTCTAGATGATTCGACATTCTCTTCTCAATTGAGTTACGGTTAGCTCCTCATCACCGACCGGCTGGTTACAGAACGCAGAGTTCATTCCGCGTTACTCTCGATCGTTCATGACCTCTATCATCGTTTTATCATGGAGCACACTTTTATCACGTGCAAGGAAATTCGTCTCCCATTCCGTTATCGAGTACACGAATCCGAGGATTCTAATACGCGTGGCTTACGTGAATGAAGAAAATGGGAATCTTCCACTCGCGAAACGAACCACGCTCATTTTACAGTAGATTAAAAATTTCCGGAGTGAAACGTTTGCTCTTTGATAAACCTTTCACTATACATCAAGTAGAAATTATTGCAATAAAATTGACATTACCGAGCGTTACTTCCTGGTAGTTCCAGAGCTTATCACGTGACCAAAGTGTCACATTCACGTGTGTCTGGAGAAAGCACGTGTCACCAAACACGAATTGATAAAGTAGAAGTGTTAAACGAAAGTATTGTCGCATCACGATTATTGAAAGAATTAGTACAAAAAGACCAATGATATATATTCCGAATCTCTATTTTAAAAACGACAGTAACAGCAGTAACGTAATTTTCCTTGAAACACAAAAGATAGTAAAAATAGTAGCCAGGGTCCGCGTACACATGACATTCGTTGAAAAGTCCTCGTCACTGTTTTCCCCACGACCAATTAGCGCGAGTAACAATTTCCAGCAAAATAATTATCCTCTGTTGGACGAATCGCGGGAACCAAACTGGTGGTTATTTAATATGTGAAATTCCGCTCGCAAAACAGGGACAAATGACATACGATTTCACGGTTGCGTAATCTACGGTTGCATAATTGCAGTACAATTTTTGTTATCGTAAATGTTGCATTATTCGATTGGCATCGAAGGTTGCAATTAAGCATGTGCAACGGCGATGAAGTCCGAGGCGACTCGAGACGACGTGAAACGCCGTGTACATATACTGTCCACGACGAGTCGTATTAGACTGTGATGTAATTTGACAGGTCAAGACGTTAATGATCCGCCATTTGCTAGCTGAACTTAATGACGGCCGAGCGTACGGGCCGTCTGAATGCCGCTTCGATTAAATGGCACTTGGGGAAAAATAGAAGAAACAAACGTGGACTTTGCTCGGCTGGCAGGCCAAGGGAGAGGGGTCGATTCTAGGGAGATAATAATCAAAGCAAATATTATTTCAACAGTCGCGTAATTATAGCAAAATAGACAAAGCAGACTGTCTATCCAATTCCTTGTAAATAATCGTCATCTGTTTGCGAGTTTTTCTAATCCACGCGACCCTATGCACTCGTTACTCGCGCGTTTCAGTATTTTTTCGAATTCTCGAAAGAAAACACTTAAAACATCCTCTATTCCGTGCTATTAAACTAGCAAATATATTTACAAGATGAAAGTGATTTTAAATAGCATTTTCAGGTGGACCATTAACCTATGACACAGAACGATGAAACATCGGATAAGGGAGCGTTCTGGAGTCCAGTTAACTGTACTTTCAATTACTGTCTCGGCATTAATGTCATCCTAGTAGAAATTTCAGTCAACGGAATGTCAGTGGAAGAATTCGAATAGGATATGATGTAAACAAATGCGTTATAGTTAGCTTTCAAATTTAGAGGGAATGGTCGCATCGTCTATTTAAAGGTAGCCAAACGGTGTTCCTATAGGTCCGTGCCATAGCACCAGCGACTGTCCCAACATTTTCTGTCGCGCGTTTTCACGGCAGTTTACCAAACGAACAATAAAATAAAATAAAAAAAAAAAAAAAAGAACAAGAAAAACCATGGAATCGTGAATGGCCCAGTTGGCCTAACAAAATATCTATCAACGTATCGGTCGGCAAACGTGAGACCATTCGACATGTTTCCAACGTAATTGCTCTGCACCGGTGGAGGGGTTAGCGAGCCGTTGATTGGTTGGTTCCAACAGAGGGCGCCCACCAGGTCCGGGTCGATGTTGCTAAAAGCTGCTGCGAATGAAGGAACATCAGTCGCTGGAACCTCCTCGAGCCGTGACAATCGGACGAGCATCGTTCATCGTTTTCAAAGAAATTCTACAACTCCGTTTCGCTGGGAAATCACTCCATTATCGTGTTCGCCTGTGCGTGATTATTCAAGCTGCATCGAATCGATCGGTGGAAAAAAAGGAGGACAGGTACATAAACCTTGATTGTCAATCGAGTATACATCGCACACGAATCTGAATTCTTTAAACCGGTTCACCGGGGGAAACCGGCCATACCGATTCGTGCGTCTTCTAAAACATCAGTCACTTCCGAACGTTCCGAAAAAATTCGAGGACGAGAGGAATCGAGGTGTGTTATTAACGTGAGGTGAGAAAGTATTAAAGACACGGTGGACGAGTGGACGAAACGGGAACACCGGTTCGTAAGGAGAGACGGTGGGGCAGCACCACCGTGACTATGTAAACTACCAGCAAAACAGTTGTGGGAGCGCGTGCGCATCGTCGAGCAGGAAACCCGTAGCGACCGAACGTGTCTGGCAGGTGTACGGGCAACGATTAACGGACATTAGAAAACGCGCTGGTTCACGGTAACCAGATTTAACAGATAGAAGGTGACGAAGGTGGTGTCGAGGATAGGTGACAAGAAGAGCGGAGAACTGCGAACAGAAGACAAAGAAATCCGCAAACTGGCTCCGGAAGTGAGGATCAAGCAAATTGGAATGAGGGAGGATCTGTTGTCTATAATACGGCACACGAGCAGCGATCATTTCTCGGAAGTACTTTAGCCGACGAGAATCGAGGAGACGAAGGGCCTGGAGGTGGTACTAGCAATAGAGCGAAGGTTTTTTTTCATCGAGTATTATCGTTTAAATAGAGGGCTCAAGCTCGCTGGGACTCGAACGGCAGAGGAAGTTATTTGCCGTGGGCTCCGATTCACGTATCCTTCCTGTCACATTGATTCCGTCTTTCGTTCGCCTACCTGGGCCTCGTATTTTCTTTTTTTCCCTACGGTGGAAAGCGAACGGTAAAGGGGATCCCCCTTTTCGAATTACGAGCATCGGTTATGCCCTGGGCAGCCGCCTGTTTTGACCTGCTAGCCGCACCCATTCTGGGCTATTGTCTCGCCGTGAGGCAACTCGCCCTTCAGGCAGGCATCCTGCAAGAAGGAAGCAACGAGGCTACGATAACTCTGCCAGATAACACGTCCAACGTGTTTATAGAGAAGGGGAAGAACCGAACCTGCGCTGACACCATGGCACCTAGCACGGAGGAACAGCGTCAAGGTATTATAAATTTATTTCTTGGGGGGTGGGGAGGGTTAGAACACTGGTTTGTTGATTGTCGTGCTCTGTCCACGATAATTCGTCGACTATCTTAGGAATTGCGACATTTACGAGAACGACGGTCTTTTTTTATCAGCTAGTAAATTGAGATATAAAACGATTATGCAACGAGTCTCGTCACGGAACGCATAGGGAGGAACGCACAGGATGAGGTAAACAAGGTTCACGTCTGAAATAGACTCGAGAATCATTACCAGGTGGTGTTTTTCTTTTTCCCCCACGAGCAGAGACACGGATTGTCGTTTCTTCTGGCTCAGGTGCCTCGACAAACATTATATGACAAGAGGTTGGGTAAACAAGGTACCGAAACGAGGGGAATTTGTTTCGCGAATCGAGTGCTCATCGGGATATCCGGAGCAGTCGCTATAAATACCGTTCGTAGTGTAAATAGAATTGTGTACTGCGCCCTGTGTGTCGAGTGGCTCGGTGGTAAAGCTGTCGACGAATGAGGATTGTCCTCCTGGGCATCCTCGAGAGTAAATGCTCCAGTTACTGCCACTTTATTTGTTTTACTTAATAAAAACGTAACGTACAAAGAATTGTTTGCAAGAAAATTTCAGTATTAAATTGGGACTCTGGTTTCCATAAAAAGAAGGAAATACATGAAAACAGTGAGGTAGGCGAAAGGATTCCTATCATTTAGTGATGGGAGTTACTGAAATTTATGCCAAATTAATATTCGGCTTAACATTTAATTCAGTACTTGAAATAAATTTACTAAGTTGTAGGAGACTTTTTTTCTACGTCACGGCTTTCCCCTAGCGGAGGAAAGTTTGCTCGCGAGGGTATATTCCCCTACGCCATATTTCCCCTAACGGATGTCGAGTTTATACGTCAATGTATCGGGTGTTTTAGAATTAATGTTGGGAAAGGAAACTACAATTTGTAGTAGGAAGCAATTTGGAAATTATGCTAAAGAAAGAGCCACAATTTTACTATTCAACGTTTTATACAAAATAAATTGTTACCGTATACAAGAATTACTTTAATTTTTTAGGTGGCAGTTATAGGGGGATTGCTCGCAGATTTTAATTAATTATGAATTAATCCTTCGTATTTAATGTATAAAACAATTTTTTAACGAAGGAAATGTTAAATAATATTATGCTCCAAAGTGAGACGATTTTTAAGTTAAACATGTAAAATCTTACTAACAATCTTAAAGCGACAGTAATTGGGACACTTATCCTAAGTATTCTTTTTTTAATTAAATCACGCGTGGCCAGGTGAACCGAAAAATCGAGGCTAGTTTTGTCTACGAGAAAACGAAGAACGTAATCGCTTTTACCACTTGCCACGGTTTTATCTGACAGATAAATATATACGTATATTGACAGTAGAACGGAGGAAAAAGAGGGGGAGGCTCGACGAGCTTAAATAATCGTAACCCCGTCAAATATTTAACAAGCACTGATAAACAATATCTTCGTGCATTTTGTTGTTATTCATCGTCGATTGACGTCGCGGCAATCGCTCCACGGACCCCTCCGTAGGGGGCGTTTCGAGTTATTCGAACCGCGACCGTTCGTTACTTTATGTTGTTTAACTATGATAGTCACGCTATCAATGAAAAAACTCGACGGTCTCGAGACGCGCCGGTGAAGACACAGACGCGATTACGAAAGACGCGTGACGCTGGGAATGAAAGTCGAGAAATTGCATCGAACACTATAGACCTTCGCTAGAATAATCTTTCGGGCGAATACGATAAAATCGAAACACCGAGTCGTGTATAGAAATAATTAATTTAATTTAATTTAATTTAATTCATACGGGTGAAAACCCATTTTTACAATATTCGATTTAAAACATTATGGCACACTAATAGAATAATTATTAAATGAGGTATAATGAGATATAACAATTATAATAGAATTCAGATAGATATAAAAATACATTGGTACTTAACCTAATAATGATAATAACTGTGCTACCCTATCATAGGAAACACCGTGTAATTCAGACCTAAATTTATTTACGTTAGGCTCGAAAATGTCAATCTTGTCGTTCCAATTATATTTAATATATCATCTTTATTAAGACAGATGATAAGAATAAACGAGTCTAAGTCCCCATTAGTGTATCAAAAGTGTCAATATTAAACTAGTTACGTAAAACGTATATAAATTTCCAACAGACGAGTCATATATTTTACAAAATTTTGTACGTATATTTTTTCCGTACAGCTCTAGAAGCCATAAATGCATAACATCCGTAGTCTAGCGATTAACCTATTTATACAATTATGCTGGCTACTAGAGTTCTGTGAAGTTCCTGTTTAACCCTTTAACGCCCAGACCCATAAAAGACTATACATGTTATATCTTGTTATATTGAAGTTAAGAAAAAAAAACGATATTAAACCAACGTATTTTTTTTTTCATTTCTCTCCTTTTTTTATTTATGTTTGGGGGGAATATTTGAATGTTTCAACTGCAAATATGGAGATCAACTTTACATCAGTGAAACTACGGAATCCTTAAAATGAATGTTGAATCGGTACAGCACTGGGAGTGAAAGGATTAATAAGTAATCGGTATCTAATCGGGGGTCGCGTTACCCGTAAGTTGAATTAACCCAAAATGTTCGGGGCTATCCACAATCCCATTTAGTATCTTGTCAGAAAAAATAACATGAATCATTCTACCTTTATAATTCGTGAAGAATAAATATTCACAAGATACGATAATCGAAATGAGTCCCGAGTATATTATCGCTATTGGATATTTCGTGAAACGCAGTAACCCTCGAGTTTTCGAGTGTCGACGTGTGTGTTTCTTTGGTATTCACGGCAATTACGATTGCGTCAGACAGATGTCTGTTTTGTGGATATATTACAAATCGTCCAATATTTCGTTCGGGCAATCTAATCAGCTGACGGACCGCGCGAAATTACACACGAGATACCGATTCTCGGAGCGTGACTGACACAGATAACCGAGATACGGTAATGTTTACCGTCGAGTAAAATGTGAAAGGAACCAGGCTCGAGACATGGGAAACGAAGTAGCTCCTTCAAGGATACGTGTACCAAAAGGGAAGGGAGGGGATTATTATTAGAATCGCAACACGCTTAAATGCAGCCCGCGTGTTGCGCATGTTAACCAGCCTGAAAAACACCATCGTACGTGGTCAAAGGGTGTGCCACTGTCGCTGAATCGGCAACCAAGCTCTACTGGTTGCACGTGTATCGTTTCAGCACACGCCAATTATTTATACCGTCCTTGCAGACAGACATATATAAATGTGACGAATGAAATGGTACCGGTTGACAGCTGTAACTATATAACCTGTTGCCGACAAATATCGCATAATATTTATCGGAATTTGCTATCGTGACACTTTAACCGTAAGTTTTTGCACTGGGATCTTGGGGGATCATCGTGAATGTTATCAAAGTTCAAATCCATCGTTGATTTGGTTATTAAATATCGGTCTGTTTTTATAAATAAATCTTTTACGACCCGTGGAATTGGCAATGATTTTTCAGAATCATTCAAGGTTACGGTATTAATTTTAGAAACATGATGTTTTTATCGATCCTCAATGTCGAGAAAGTTCAATTCATTTTCCTAGAGACACGGTGTACGTCTTGTACAACGAGTATAATATTCATGAATCCAGGAACGACGATTTTGCTTTTTCTTTTTATCGCAAGATTTATCGGACTTTTTATCAGAAGACCTCATTCCGAAAGCTCTCAGAAAATCCTTGCTGTTATCGAGCCCCAATTTCGTTACAGTTCGTTTCGTCTCGATAGCGATACTATTTTCGTATCGTACGAGGGAATTGATCATTCTCTCGAGGCGGATTTGGAAACTTTCATAATCGCTGATTAGTGTCCTGTTATCATTATCGTGATTACTATCCTGGCTTCTGTCATTCGATATTGCCAAAGTTCAAGACATTTTCATAGATACGAAACAGTGGTCGCGTTCCGCTACAGAAATAGAAATTCCCGCGTGAACGTTTCGGTATTTCGAAATTTCCAAGATTATGCATAAATATCACGAGTATATATTATCTTCTCGAATATTAAAGTCATCGTTCGCCACACTCTCGAACCTTGAATTCTCATGGCCAATTTTCAGAAATATTCGAAGAAACGACCTCAATGGATCGTTGCAACGACCCAGAAATCCTCTCGACAATGTTATCGACTTTTCCCAGGCCGACCTTGCTTTCCACCCTTTCCGCAGAAGGGTGAGAAATACGTCACAATCATTCGCGAATTCGGTGGCTTCGAACGACGTTCTCCTGGATATCCAGACACAAAAAGTACCATTTATTTATGCCAACGATCGTGGACTCTGAACCCCGTGTTGTCGCGTACGTAACAAGTTACAGTGCTTGCTTATCGTTTTCGTAAAACACGCGTCGATAATTGGTTCAATAATATTATTTCACCCGTGGAGTTTGTAATCAATCGTACACGCTTGCTTCGTGTTCGTCATCGGTGTGTTTTGCTCGCGGAGATACGAAGTCGAGGCGTCGCGATTCCATGCCTGAATAATGAATCGGGTGACGACACGACCTCGGGTCAACGCCACCGACTATTAAACTGACATTTAACACGTTTTTTCATATGTGGAGGGGAGAGTACGTGTCCTCCTTAGATGGCCACCATAACGCGAATCGATTCGATTGACATCGGATCCGATCGAATCGTCTGACTCGACGTTACTCGACACGATCGACGACGAATACACGCTGACACTTCATTGAACCTTTTGTTTCCGGTGAGCTGCTGTTTTTTCCAATGTGTTTTTCACGGAACTTTACGAAATTGCTTAGCATCGACCGCGAACTATGGCCGTGGCTCTTTGATCCCTGAGATCAGACGGAGTCTAATTCGTAATTAATTCGGTCGATAGAATATCGTGAGCGCCTCGGGGATGTACAGTGGGTGATCAAATTATTATGAACACTTCGAAGCACTAGTTTGAATTTTGATCACGAACGGAATTGAAGATATATTTATAATAATACAGATTATTATGATTTTACTGCCATATGACAACGATTATAATTTTTTAAAAAATTATGATTGCTTGAATTCTTTTAGGTACACTTTCTATATTTTTGTTGTCACAATCTCATTTAAATCGTGTTAAAATAAATAATAATCGAGGAAACGAACAATCAATAAAAGAAACTCATAAATCAGCAGGAGTATGTCATCAAGATATACTTAAATTGTGTATCTATATATTAAGAAAAAAAGAAAGTGTGTACTTCATTATTATTGAAATCGAAATAACATCGAAAACATAATCTGTAATTTCTCCATCTGATCATAGTAATTTGATCACCCACTGTATAATGCTGATACGCGTGTAAAAAAAAGAAACTGACGACCTGGCAGATACCCGACGAATGTTGAAATCGTAGACAACAGGCTGGCGTGTGTGGACTTTTTTTTAAAAATTCTCTCGCGTCAATTCGTCCAAGTGGAGTGACCTTTTTATCTTTTCCACGAATGTTGTTGTGTCTAAGGCCGTTTCAGCGGAAGATACAACGTGGCGATATTGTTCCATGGGCACAGTGAACGTATTTTCACGGTGTACGGCGGTAATTTCGTTTTACCATCGCGTTGGTACCGTTACAGTTATATCTTGTTAGCGCTGATCTCGTTCGAACTAATTATAGAGCGACTTAGGAGACCACAGAGTAGTTTTTACCCTTTTTTTTGGTAAAAGCACAGAGAGAGACCAATTGTACATAGAAACGTAATGGAACAGTACTCCATTCTACTTAAAATTAAATATTGAATCCAATTTACTATTCATTTATACAATTGGGAATTTTATTACCGTCGTTGCCTCACAGCCTGTTCCTGAATTAGCAATTCAAGAACGGGCTCTCTACTTTTTCGGGCGATAGGCTTGTAAAAATGTTAGATTAACCGAATACTAATTATAATTCGGGAAATATTAAACATATTGAATAAATTGCCCGATAGTCGAGTGTCAATCTATACATATATACGAAATAAATGTAAAATAAATATAAATAATAACTAAGAAAGAATTTTTCGAAATTCATCCCTTAAAGGGGTGAAAACGGGTAAAATTATTTTCTGGGAATTTTGGAAATTCTAGAATTAGTCTCGATGAGATGTTCCACTGCTTTTTACTTTAAAATGTTACTTACACAAATACCTAAACAGTAATTTCAGGATTTTTTGAAATTCCAATTGCAAGGCACGAAAAGTTGTCCGAATACACAGAGATAAATCTAGTAATATATATTTTTCCTATTCGTTTCTTACAAATCAATTTAAAAATAGTGTTCAAAAAGTAATTTTGTCAATAATTCGATTAACCATGTCTGCTGACGAAGTTAAGAACACGTGCGAGCAGCCGCTTACGTATTACCATTATCGTTATCGTTAATTAATATACGGTCACGTCGATCGAATTCACGGTTTGCACCTGTTCCAGTAACAACGTGACTCATTAAGCGACATTATTCGTGTATTCGTATGGTAATTGGATATTCAAGGAACAGACAATGTTCGTATGCAACGGAATCGTTCGATGTAATTCGAGAACGAGTGCTTCATTCATTCATTGAAATGGACTTTGGTGTCGACTTTGTGCCAAAATTTCGGCAACAATGTGTGCGTCACAGGCAGGACGGCAAGGGGTACGCGTGCAAGAAAGACTGCAGTATTTCTGCAATGAATACCGCGAAAGAAGCCGAAGAAAACCGCAGCCAAAAATCGCTCGCGCCGGCCCGTGAATTCTAAATATAATGACGGTCGTTCCGCAACGTGTACACCACACGAACGTCTCTCAGTGTTGGTTAGAAATTCGCACGGTCTATCCACGCGAATAATTCGCACGCTTCGCTCGTTGCAGCATCGAAACGGCACGACGCTTTCAAGCGTTATCGATCCAGCATCGGTTGGACGCACACGACAGGGTCGTAAGCACATTGTGGCAAACATGTGTGTGATCGGTAAGAATTCTACGTTCTCGTTCCTTCGATCGATCGGCGACAAGGGTTCCCATTCCATTGTCATTCTAATTCGAGCAATTCTTTCGAGCGTTCGCCGAGCTAGACAAAGGCGAGACTTAATTAGAATTCTAAGGAACGACGTGGTGTGTCAGCTTCGTAGAATAATTTTTCTAACGGCGATTTTCATGACTTTTCCTTTCTTCGGCACTAACTATTTTAGCATGTAGTTGTACGTTTTTTCGAAAGCAAATGCTGTTAGCGGTTGACGTAATGGTATGTGTTTCTTAAATGGGAACTAGAATAGAAAAACGTAGGGGAAAGTCCTGTTTTCCTATGTGTAAAGTTTGACAAATAAAAGTTAAATAGTAGTTTCTGAGTATTTTTAGAACACCTGAAGTTGTATATTTGCAAACGCAAAAAGACCTCCCGCCAGTAAGGTGTTAATAAAAAAAGAGATGGATTAAGAATTAAGGAAAAGAGCAATGTGTATTGTTAAGATTGCACAGATTTTTTACCGTCTGAGAATTATATAATTATCCGATCAAGAGTTGATTTACTTAATGTTATTGTGTGAATTAATATAGGCCATTCGAATTAGGACCCTCAGGGGTCATTTTTTCCAGCTTATCAAATTATACAGTCATTACATTTTTCTAAAAAATTGCTGGTTTCAAGTGGAATGACTGACGGAACAAGCAATCAAAGCTACGAGGGAAACAAGTAGAATCTGCATATCGATTTTAGAATATCGTTAAGACGTTATGATTCAACCTCATTTCCCTAGTGTGTCTGTCACATTTTGCAACGTGATCGATGTCCCCGTTTCCGTGTCAAGTTATATGAATTCACGTCACCGTTCTATGATCGTTCGATCGATGGGTATAGGTGCATCGGCTAGCTGCCAGACGATTCTATAATGTATCTATTAAATTGGACCGGGTTATAACTACCGACAATTTGTTCACGAGTGAAACACTTCGAGGGAATTTTTTTTAGCGAAGATTCATTCCGTTCGTATTAGTGATGATACAATATCCATATTTTGATTATCGATACTTTTCAATTCAAATATCGATATTTTAGTATCGATATTTAATGTGATGATATATTCCAGTATCGATATTTAATAGAACGATATATTCCAGTATCGATACCGAACCCATAAATATCAAAATTTCGATACAATCGTTACATTTCACGAATCGATCGAATTTTCCACAAAGTTTGCGATTGATCCATTTCTTTGCCACACTGTTTTACCTGAGAATCTGCCTTAGTAAATAAATCGTTTATTTCCATTTTTCGACTGATACCGATACTATGAATACTTTATTTCCGATATACATCTGTACCGATATTCTGGGTATCAATATTTATCGATACCAAATATCGATACAATTCAAATGTATCGTCATCACTAGTTCTCGTGCTAATATTATACTTCGTTTGGAGGCCTTATTGTTCGCGATAGGATCGTTTTGTTTGGATTTGGACAAAGGTGGCCAGTGTCTTTAAAGTCGTCGTGACTCATTGGCTGCGTCACGCAATCTAATTAATCTTTTTTTCCCTTTCTTCCAGAACCAGGCAAGGATAAGATCGCGGTGAGGACAACACCGGGGATCACGAAGTCCCCGCGTAAATTCGCGGGGGTTGTGATCGCGATGTGCGGTCTACCTGGTCGTGGAAAAAGCCAGGTGGCACAATGCCTGTCGCGCAGACTGAACTGGAACGGCGATTCCGCCAAAGGTGAAGGAAATACTTTATTGTTACTCGACCAGACGAAGAAAAAAAAAAACGAAGAAAAGAAGAACCTCTGTTTTTCCGTTGCATATGCAATTCACGAGAACGGATGTCTGAGTGTATCTTTTCGAGCTGACTTCGATCGACGATTCTTTTTTCTAGATTTTTTTCTTTGTTCTCGATAAATTATTCGTAACATAATCGTCCGTCCAATGTCCGTTAATTTGAATTTTTTTCCATCGAGCGAATGCTTAACACCGACGACGCGGCGATAAAAGTGCATTCAGCGTGTTACGTAGCCCGTCACGTATGATTTACGGTTTGCCTTGAACGGATTAATTCTTTTTTGATCTACCGACCGGTAAACAATTCTCCGTGGCGGCACTTTGGATTTTATCGTGACCCACTCATCGGTTTCCCCTACGGTTTCCGAGCTTTCGCGACAAGAAACCTTCTATTGGAATGGTTGTAAAAAAAAAAAACAATATTGCTGATAATCATGTTTACGTCTGGGTTCGCTAGTGTCGGGAATCGCGAGACTGAATTGATTTATGCATAAACACTGAATAGATTCAAATGCAGCAGACTTGGGGAAATAGTATATGGACCACGAACAGCTTAGATTATTCTATTGATGATAGTAATAATTTCCTCCAGTCAAGGATGAACACTCAGGCATCCTCAGCTCTCCTTACAGGACACGGTAATTCTGCTATTTTTGGCACTGCTGTTTGAAATATTCATTTTTCCTCAGTTGTACAGACAGCTTAAAATAGTAATTTCATTTCGTAAGGGTAAAATTTCTCGTCGTTACATTTAGAAATAATTTATTTATAATTTGTTTCATCATTGATTTTTAAGCCAATTCTGTCGTCACAAAGACACATTGTGTCTGCAAAGTCTTTCTACTTCGTACACGTTCTTCTGTACCCTTTCACTTCCCACGAAGTAGCACCGATGAATAACAGTTTCTGTCTGAATCCTTCGGTTCCAGTGATGAGAGTGAGCGAATACCGGCGGAAACGACTGGAACCATACGGCGAGGCGGTGTCCCACGAGCTGTTCCGTCCTGATCACACGGCGAACGCAGCTCTGAGAGCTCTTGCCCAGGGTGACGCGATCCACGATTGCGCCGGATGGCTCGCAGCTGGGAATTCCGTAGCTGTAAGCATCGCGAGCAAACCTAGTGTCATACCCACAAGTTTGGCCATATCGTGAAAACCGTCTCGGAAGTCGGTCTGGAGATGATAGCAAATTGTCAAACTCCCATAACTTTGGAAAAAAAAAAATTGCTATTTATCGCGAACACCTTGGAACACGGGGGCTCAGGGGTAATAATAGTTTGGAGATGACAGAAAACCTTCGAAATCGTGCAACTTTAAAAACAAAATCGCCATTTCACGCGAACTCGGTAATCTTACAGATTCCTCTCGATTATTGTCCCGAACTCGGGTCCCGGTTGGGACAATAATCTTGTAGGGAGAAATGCTTCAGACACTTGTAAATTCGCGCAACAAAATACGCGTTTGACAGATTCCACGCCCTCCCCCAGTGGTAGGGATAACGTCTGGACAATAATCGCGTAGGACAAGCCAGACGATAATTGAGAGGAGTCTGTAGTCTGGAGAAAATCTAAAATCGCCATTTATCGCGAACACCTTTTTGGGCGTTTATCTAAATATTTTTCTGGAGTACATATACCTCGATAGTCGTGTCGAACGGTTACAATAATCCGAGACACGACGGAGGGCACCGAGTAACACGAGGCTGGTCGAGCCAGTCTCTCGCAATCCACCTTTCTCCGCGGTGTACAATCGTTATAATCCCGTCGTACGAGTTTCGCCCGGTAATTCTTTCCATGTATGTATACACGCCTACGATAGACACCGTGAACAGCTTAAAATCGTTCCACCTGGGGGAAGAATTGTAACCTGAAAGAAACGTACAAGATACAGCATGAGCAACTTAACTGTACCACCCACAAATACTTGTTCTATAAAACAAATCTACAGAAGTAATGTACGCAGCAATAACAATGAATTATCGGACGGGAAAGATATGTTTGTAAACATTGAACTCTTATATCAAGCAGACAATTGTTGTATAGACATGTCATATACAGAAATTCCATCATCATTCACTGAAGAATATCTCGGTAATTATTACTGTTCGACCTGATATACCTCAGTACTCTTTTACTCAGCATTCAATATTCTGCCAAACAAAAGGACCAAACATTACACATTATGATACAAAAATTCAAGGTCACCTTCATATTTCGATAAAAAAGCGCAACGTCAAAGAACTAATTATCACATTGTACATCCAGCTCGGTATCAAACAACTTTAATTTTAAAACATTCGTTTATATACAAGTAGTTTATCTGTAAATTTAGGTGGTACAGTGAGTGACTCACCCTGTATAAAGCGTTTCGTGAGAAAACGAAATAACTAACACACGTTTCCCTGCCACTATACATATACACACACGCATACATCCGAGAAAACCAGTCGAAAGAGATGAAACCGGTATAGTATAATCGGATACATCGTGAAAACGTCGCGATAGAAGGAGAAAACCCATAAACGCGCATAACCGTGGACGAACCGAGCATATATCATTTTTAAGTGTTTTCCTGTTTGAAGATACTGGACGCCACGCTGGTGACGCGAGCGCAACGCGCCGAGGTCTTCGATTATTTTTCCGGGCAGCTCGGTTACCGAGTATTGTTCGTCGAATGCGTATGCGATGATCCTCTGGTGCTGGAGCAAAATTACAAGGAGATCCTGCGGTACAGCACCGATTACATTGGTGTCGATCCGACTCGAGCCGAGGAGGATCTTCGTTTAAAGGTAGCTCATTATGTACGATGCTACGAGCCGATGGACGAGAAGGTCTACCCAAGAGTACGGATCAACACCGCCACTATGGATATCGAGACGTGCAAAATATCCGGCCACATCGAGACCAGCGTTCTCGGATACTTGGGAAGCGTCACGGTCAAGCCTCACACTCTTTACTTCTCTCGGGTTAGTAATTAGATTTCGTTCGATGGAGGTGATAAGTCCTTGGAAAGTGATTGGAAATCGATTCCGTTCCGGATAGATACTAGACTCGGGGTAGAACGTAGTAATTTTCCGTTGTGCATTGTTCTATTATTTTTCTTGTGCACGGTAGAAATGGGAGGAAAATTTCCTTTGTATCATTGAATAGCTCGACCCTTTTTAGGTATATACCTGAAGTCCTGTACCTGACGCGTCAGTTTAATCTGAGACATCGTAGTCGAAGGGACGTGAAATAAGACGTGAGTTCCAGTGATTATTCAGTACAATTTTTCGCGTGGTTTAAATAAAGAAGAATGTTTTAAAGAAATTTCTGAAGTATTTGACGGGGGTTGTTTTTCCGTCAGAATTTCATTCCGACGAGAAGTTTTCGGGCTCGAATCAGTCAGAAAATGCTGACGCTGTTGAAAAAGCAATTAGAATGAATAGAAAAATTACGTATAGGCAATTAGAATGAATAGGAAAATCACGTATAGGCAATTAGAATGAATAGGAAAATCACGTATAGGCAATTAGAGGACACTCCACATTTCTACAACAGCACTGCATCGAATTGTTTCGGAGCACTTATCATTAAGGAAGCTCCGCTCATTGTACCCCATACCTTTAGTGACGATCAACGATGAGAACGTGTCAAGTGGTCGAAAAAGAAAATGCTGATAAAGTTTAAATCTGAAACTGCTAAGGAGGTATATATATAATAAATAATCACTCGAAAGTCAGGTCTTGTGAGACTCGTCATGGCACAAAGTTTCAACTATAATTTCTCACAGTAAACTGACGCGTTAGCTACAGGATTTAGGGTATATATCTAAAAAGAGTCTAGCTATACAATAGTATAAAGGATTTTTGTCTGCTCTTTTTTCCAGGGTTGTACGATAAAAAATTTAAAACAATCTATGTATAATTAATCGAAATTTCGTCACCAAGGGAACGTTTAATGGACACGGTGAAAACGGAATTTTTCTTTTCCGTTTCTAGCACGGTGAAAGCGAGTACAATGTCCTCGGCAAAGTCGGAGGGGACGCTGTGTTGAGCGCGCGCGGAGAGAGGTACGCTCAGGCGTTGGCTACCAAATTCAACGCGATGCGTATACCCGATCTTCGTATACTGACCAGTCGTTTACGAAGGACGATCGCGACAGCGAGGGGCGTCGAGGCTCCTCAGGAACACGTCGCGGCCCTAAACGAGCTATACGCCGGGGTTTGCGAGGGTCTTTCGTACGAGGAGATGCAGGAGCATTATCCGCAGGTAATTGAAGACAAAAAGCTCTAAAAAGCTACAGCTCCCTGGGAATATCTATCGTGTGAAAATTGTAAATAATTCTATCGTATAATATAAAGGATATACAGGGTGTCCCATGTAAGTGTCACCACGAAATTTCAAGACCTTCCTTGAACTTTACAAAACAAGAGTTGAATTATAATTAAGTGTGCATAATTTTGTTATGTGAATTTTTTTGTCCGGGGCAATGAATGTTACCTTTTGGTTTTTTAATGAAACTGTAGCATATTTAAAAAATTTTTCCTTAGAGAGGATTGTGACGAATCCAACGAGTATAAATATGTTGCAAAAAAAGTTCAAGTAACGTAAAAAAAGTCAATAGAAGTTACGCAACGCTGTGGTATGTCAAGGCGTTCGCTTCAGAAACAATCGAACGGTCAAGGGACAAATGTACATGTATGTTTACTCTTCACACGTTATTTTTTCTTTTTTTGTAACATATTCATAGTCGTTGGATTTTTCATTATTCGTTCTATTAAAAAATATTAGAAAAATGTACAAATTATGATTCACGAAAGTTGTGCATACTAAAATATACTTCAACTTTTGTCTAATATAATTTTTTTGGAACGCTCAAAGAAAGTCTTGTACTTCCTATAAAAGTTCCAAAATCGAGTCTTTCAAATACTTCGTAGTAAAAGCTTCCAACGAGTTCCGATAGAAAACAGTTGAAAGTGAGGTGTCTAAACACACTTCTATCTTTAGGAGTTCGCGTGGCGCGACCAGGACAAGCTACGCTATCGTTATCCGTGGGGCGAGAGTTACATCGACGCGATGCAACGCGTGGAACCGGTGATCGCCGAACTGCAAAGGTCCGATAATATCCTGGTGGTGTCACATCAGGCCGTGCTGCGTTGCCTTATCGGTTTCTTCATGGACAAGAAGCCCGAGGAGCTTCCCTATATGGAGGTTCCTCTGCATACGATTATTCGCGCGAGTAGCCAAGGATTCAATTACAAGCTCGAATTCTACAAGCTACCGATCGAGTGCGTAAACACCACTCGCGTGAAACCGAACAACTGCAGCGCCGATAGAACAGCAGATGACGCTCTGATAACTGTACCCGCGCATTTCGACATACCGGATCCATGGAGGAATCCAGGAAACGGGCCGACCCTCGTGCAGCAGCACTGAGATACAGCTCGACGATCCACGATAACGTCGAAAATTCGATCTCTGTTGAGCTGTGGTCTCCGAGGATTTCGAGGGTAGCTTCTTTTATTTTTCTCGATCACGGAGGATTCGACGGGACGTTGTATACGCGTGTCCCGCGGCGAGGCGTTGAATTTATTTTCTTTTTAGTTTGTAGTTTCATTATGGTATGGATTAGGAGCGGATCAATAATTGGAAACACGACGGAGGGTAGTTGTATCGATTGAAATTTCGTTCGGTTCGTTTGTGAATAACTAAGGAAATGTTAAAAAGAACAGGGCCTTGATATATTTGTAGGAATTTCTGATTCGTTTATTTTTTTTTTTTTTTTTTTCGTAATCGACAGGTTTCGTGGATTGATCGTCGGAATTCCCTTCATCGATCTGTTTCTTATTGGCGGCAACTCTGTATCCTGCTGCTTCGAGCCCTCTATATTACTACGTTTAATCCTTCTAGTTTTAATGTTAGACGATAGACAGGTGAATCGATGTTAAGAGCGATCCACTATGTACCCATAGAAACCGAGAAAACTACTTGTACCTTTTGATTTGTGATGAGCAAGGACCTATTCACCGGCGGTCAACGTCTGTTGTATCGTCGGTTCAACTATTGAAGATCGGAACAACGAAAACATGAAAACCCCTGACCATATTCTTAGGCTTAGAAATCTAGTTCTGTACTCTTATGATTTCGTTCCTAATGTAACTGACTATAATTGCAAAACGAGCGTCAAGAATTAGAGATTCTTTTTTTCCGTTTCTTGTCATAAGAGAGGACTATAACTTAGGTTAGCGTAGCGATGCACAAATTGTTCGTTAATTAAATTGACGGTATCAGTGTTAGCAGTTACGATTAAAAGTTTGGACGATAAATGTGCATTTTTTGCGCGGGCAGAATCGACGGTGTATCTTCGGGAACGGGGAAAACCAGTCGTCGATATTTTATTATACTAGTACGTTAAAAGTATTTTATTGCAGAATTGGCGAAACGGTTCTTCCGTCGATATTCTGTTGCGTTTCGATTAGGGTTAGCCGTAGACCACATAAATCTGCACAATATTTCATTAAAGAAACGAATGAAGCGAAGCTGTGCACGCCAGTAAGTGGAGTACAATTGTAAGAAAGAGATGGGAAAAGTATATTTTTTACAGAAGTCAGACGTGTCTCAGATCCAGGCAATGTTTCGCCGTGATTATCGCGAATGAGTGACTACAATTTCATCTAGTCGTGTGTCGATCCATTTGGCGAATCGTCTGATAGTTTTTATACTAATACGAGAATCGAGACGAAGGTTTGGAGGGAGCGTTTAAGTCGTATCGTAGATACTTTGAACTGTCTTTGTTTTCTTTTTTAATTGTACATTATGAATAAACATTTTTTACGAAACACCCCCGGGTTCGTTCTACGGTCAACCTTAGCTTAAGATGTAGAACAGTAGGTTAAGGTATGGAAAAGTAGTTTAAACCTTTGACGCTCAGTGTGGCGTATACGTCATATCTATAAAATCATATTTTCGGTTTTGTCATGAAAATACGGATGAGGTGTACAGATTAGGATCATCTTTAAGTTAACTAATTGCGAGAAATAATTTTTTTCCCCGAAAGAGGTCTGTGGGTGTTACAGGGTTAAAAATAAATAAAAAAATTTCTAAGGTAGGTTGGTTGAATATCGATATTTTCGACAAAATAGAATATATATATATCAGTTGAAGAATTTGAAATAATGATTTAAGGGTCGGAAACTATTAAATTTTTAGATTTGAATTCAATCTAACGATTAGAATTAAATAACGATTAAAGGTGGTTAAAGGGTTAAGGTATGGAAAAGTAGCATAAGAATATCATACAGGATTAAAGACGAAAAGTAGCCCAACAAGCTTCACGTTGAATAACGTTCATTTATTCAATCAATTGCTCTTTCATTGTCACAAATTGCATCTTCGTTACAAGTAAAATGTTCACACATAAAATATATATATTATTAAATACAGAATAATTTAATTTAGATTGAAATATCTTACAATATTCAATTTCAGATTCACGTGGTACATATGTATATATATCGTAGAAAAATAATTTATAGTTTTCTTAATTAACACTCAGTGACTCGCGTGCGTATGACTAGAGTAAGTCTCAAGACAGGTACAGCTCCCGGATAATCTGACTAGAGTAACATAGTTAATTAAAACCCCCCGGCGAAAGGGGTCACTTAACAGAATTAATTCGTAAAATGTTGGGGGGGGCGTTCTCCCTCGAATTTCAGCCTGGAAATCCCGGCTGTTCTCGGAATTATATTCCCGACCTCATCAGTTTCGCGGTGTAATCCTTTTGTTTATTCGCCAAGTGGAGGTCCAAGCTTCTCAGCATTCTGTCGCGTATCTCCTGGTCGTACGAGGTCCCAACGGTGTCTTTTCTATTCGTGCTTTTCAGCAAACCGGTTCTACAGTGAGCGACCCTTGGCTCGTTTCGCGAATATTTGCCCAAACGGAAGCCGTGGTAATTCAACTGGATCGTCCTAGACGCAGCGTCTCGCCTAGTTTCGCGAGCTGCGCTCTTCATGAACTCGACCGCGGCCCGTCGACAGGTATCGTAACCCAGTAATTGAATCTTTTTACCGTGGATCGCTTCCAGCTGAGAATTTCTCGGTTTCGACGCCCTGTCAATAATCCTTCCCATCGAATCCGGCGTTCCTGGTAAATTCTCGAACACCTTGCGGAGAACCTCTTTCGTGAGATCCTCCTCGCTGCTGGATTCACCTGAGGGACAAAACTTTCGAGGTAATAATAAATAGTTTCATTAACGATTCAACGCCCAGTGTTGCACCGGTGCAACATTAAGGTGTTTGAATTGGGACTATTCTCGAGTTAACTGAACGCGAGAAATAATTTGTTTCCCCGAGAGAGGTGTTTAGGCGTTAAATGCATTTAAAATGTTTTTTAAAGCAACTAGTAGGTAACACGTTATTTTAGGCAATACTTCTTATTGACTTACCCTGTATACCAGTTTCTTAATTTTTAGTAAATAATTTCAGGCTCTGGGTGTTAAAGAGTTAAGGTTTAACTATCTTTTTATTTCACTCAAACCTCGATAGACTACTTAGAAAATCTACATCTGTAGTTTTGAATTGCAAGAAAGGCTTCTTTCCATAAAGAACCTGTGGGAATTCTTCAAATTCTATGTTCACTTGGCTTTAACGAAGCAAGGAATTCGATATCGAGATTGGAAAGTAATTGTCAAAGGCACTTTCCTCGTGATGCTTTTACGTTTCAATGAAGTTTCCAAGTCTTTGAGGCGCTTTAACGCGAAAGTAGCGAAGTGGAAGTTTTTCGAAAAATAAGACCGTTCAAAACTTTCGGAATCCTGTTTCCTGGTATGATTATGACCGTACGCGCGTGGAAACTGAAACGAAAAGTTTACGATATAAATTCCGATTACCGAGGTCGCTAGTGTGCTCCGTTGTGTACGTTCCATCTTTGATCTCGCGTTGCAGCTCCAGCACCCTGGCCAGAGCCAATTGCAGATACTCCCTGGCGTTCGGCTCCTGTACAAACACCGTGTGCGAATTGCACGCTGTTAATCGCGTAATCAGAGAGCCACGAGCGTGTAATGAGAATCCCGGGAATCTATGTGTCATTCGTTATCGGAATCATGGGTAGTAAAATGGTACTTACCTCGACGGTCTTCAACTTTTTCGTGTCACCGTTCCCATCTGCCAAACAGGGCGCCTATTACGCGAAACAGAGTGAATAAATGTCAAGAATACACTACATGATTTTTGATCGATTGAGGAGGAATTCCCATTCGGAGGCGAAATTTTTCAGCGATTTTTAGGACTAAGAATTATTGTACCAAGGAACTTGGAGTATTTCACAATTGAAGAAAGCAGAGTGCAATTTATCTGCAATTGTCTTTTATATTAACAAAGTTATTATATGTTTTTTTAGCACCGTATCGCTTTGAATGGCTGCCATGATTCACGTTGTTGTATCCATCGGAAAGAAATCAAAGATAATCTTAATCGGTATAAAAGTGGCTATCTTGTGAAATACTTTGAAGCAGAAATAAAATTTTTTAATAAAATGGCAGTCGCGTAAAAAAAAACTACTGCAGGTATTGATATAATAGTGGTTCACAAGATAAAGATACGTCTATTTTATATGTACACTCGCGAGCAAACTCGGCTTCCGCTAAGGAAAAGGCCTTCTACCATTTGAATTCTGAAGTTTCTGAAATTTATGCCAAATTACCATGCATTTTAACATTTATTTCAGTACTTGAAATAAATTTACCAAGTGGTAGGAGGTCCTTATCCTACGTCACTTTTTCTCCTAGTGGAAGCCAAGTTTACTCATGGGTGTACGTCAAAGCTGAAGTAGATTGGTTAACTCATTATTACGATATCGTTTACTCGTGCAGCGGTACATCGTTCTCCAGCGTATCGTTCTCTCAAAATCGTTATAACTTGGTCACTTCAATGAACTAAAGCATACCACAACGGTAACACATTTTCAAGATGTACTATAAGAAAAATACAATAAAAAGGAATCGATTTTCTGACTCCTCCGGATGGGAATACCCCCTCAGGCCACATTTCACAATAGTCGAATCCCTTACCGATGAGTATCTTTTCATCTCGACTAGATTTCGATTAAAGTTTTCACCTGGGACGTACACAACCGATCGCTCAACAATGCACAATAATTCGAAGGGTTCACAGTTCAAGACAAGTTCCACTTTCCCATAAGTATTTCGTACCCTCTTCAGTCCACCGTGTTTCTTCCCACCGTCTTTTCAGAACAGAAGCACTTAGACCTCCGAAGCTAATGGCACTTTTGTCCTCGTTCAGCCCAAAAGATTCTTCTCCTGTTTCGAACGACGCGGCCCAGGGAAACGACCGTTGACTAACGTCGATCCGCCTCGACTAGCCAAATCGTGGCTACACCCCAGGGCTACGAAATACTGGTGCGAGGGTGATGACGGTTTGCCATGGCTTCTTCCCCTCCGCCGTGAACCCCTCAAACTGTACCCCCTTAACGCTGCCACTGCCGTGCATCTGCAAGGGGGACATTGTGCTAGGGAACCCCTGTTTGCACGGCGCGTGCCCCACCGCCCGATAAAAGCGGCTGCCACGCGCCCCTTACCCCCGAAACTACGGCTGGAATACGTTACGAGCTGCTCGATTATAACTGCAGATAGTAGCCACCGTGTGTATCTTGCCCGTTTTGTGGGAGTAACCGTTGGACGGAGCTCGTGAAGTTAACTTTGACATCGATGAGATTGGGCAGCATATTGGCGGGAAAATTCGCTGCAGCGAAAGGGTTGAATTATCTACCCTAGTCATGCGCTTCACTCGCCAAAGGGAAATTACAGGTATCCTTTGACTTCAATTTTCTCCAAGACAATTTAAAGTCACCATCAAGTCGGTTCTACCTATTCGGTAGAATTTGCATTTTGGCAAACAATTGGAACGATAAGATCGATATTTTTGTATCGAACATAAATAATTTTAGGTCTGAATTGCATAGTGTTTTCTACAATTGGGTGGTATAGGGGTTATTATTACTAAGTCAATTATCCATATAACTTTTATTCTTATTACTGTTATCTCTCACCTCAATTTTATTTAATCATTTGCTATATCTGTGTGCCAGAACGTTTTCAATTTTATATAACAAAATAACTTTTCTGTCCGTAAGAATGAAATTAAATTATTCACGATCTATCATCTTACCGAACACGAATCCTACAGTCTGTCTTGCACCCCACATTTCTTCATGTATCACACTACAATGCCTCGACAAAATCTCGAAAGGGGTCAGGTAAAGGAAGAACTTCCAAGATTATTCCGCAGAGTTTCGTGTATTTCATACAGATAAGTCTCAATCTTAGTTCGAGCAAATCGAACAAGGGGGGAGGGGGATGTGCATCCGGTGGAATAAATTTCAATTCGATCCGCAGGAAGGTCAGAAAACTTGCCTGGACACCGGCTTCGATACATATTCCGACTGCGTCGATCGATTCGCTCGAATACGCTTCCGTGTTGCGGGTGGCCTAATTACACCAATAATAGGGGCGTCGGAGAAGACGTCCAGGCGTTATCTGAACGTCTGAAACATACAGGAGGGAAGGGACACGACGGCCAATGGACGGTGCGATATACACTAAATCCTGTTAACCAGGCTAGCCGTGGGTGGAAAGAGGAGAGCAGCACGTCAAACAGGAATTTCCGATCGCCGTCGAAGTAGAGGTTCGCAAGGTCTTCCGCGTAGAATACAATTAATAGACGTAGCCCTTTCTGCTCGTCACCACTCTAATTAAATCTCGCGTCGCGGATTCAATAACGGCCTCGGGATATCCTCTTCCGTGTACGGAAGATCGACGCGACATAAACCGTTCCTCGATTTATTTCAGTCGACGTGTACAACCCGTGAACGATTATTGGATGGTCGGGGGTGGGAAAGGGGTGGAAAAAGTGCGCAACGTGAACGAGATATCGACAGAAAGAGGCGAATCGATTTGCCACCCGTCGCGACTCGAGAGCAGATAATTACTGGCCGATGATAGATCCTGTTGCGGGATGGGGGCGATATCGTTATCCTGCGATCGAACTGGTGTAATTCTTACGTAGATTTTCCGTGAAAATGTTAAGTCGTTTTAGGAATTTTATCATTTACATTGTGCAACGAGTCACATTGGCTGAGAGCCAATAACGTCTCCGTTTCGGAGACCTGTGGTTCTTTTTTCACGGTGCTATCGTTGGACCGTTATCCTTAAAGGGTTAGACCACCCTGACCGCTTGAAAATCGTAAGTACTTTCGTGAGTTTTTTCTGGGAATGTAAGGAAGTAAACTGGAAAGCAGTTTCAGAGCCTGTAATATATATATGTGTGGTTAAATATACAAAAATATTTTTTTATTTGTGGAAAATGGCAGTTCTTGTGCAGTTTTTGTAGAACACATTTTTTCTTTTCTAGAAGAAATTTGTTGGGGCAGTACGTATGATTTTTTCGATATCTCAAAAACTGTCTTTTTCACAGACGTTGTTGTATAAAACTTCCTGGCCAAAATCGACTTCTTTTTATTTCAAATGCTCACCATTTGTTTTTGCAAAACTAAATATTTTTTAAAATCCTAGCTACTTCCCTAGAAAAATTCTTCTAGAATATGAAATACTCTTGTATATCAGTCAAAAATGTGTGGCCATTTTGTACGAAAAAAAATATTTTTGCATATTTGAACATATTTGTGTATTACAGGCTTTGCAATTGATTTCCAGTTTATTTTCTAATATTCCCAGAAAAGCTTCACAAAGGTACCTATAATTTTCGAGCCGTCAGGGTTGGCTAACCCCTTAACATTATTTAAAATCATTAACGCGTACATTGAACGCTGTAAATTAAGCTTAGATCGCTAAAGCCGAATCTGTACAGAGGAACTTTCCTTTGTCGATCGGTTGATTGTAAAATCCCGTGACTTAACGCGTAAATGGGATCACGTGGATAATTTAAATCACCTGACGTTCAAAAATTTATACATCATTTCGCAATGTATTCCTGGCCCTAATTGAAATATTCACCCAATTTAATGCTCCTTTCGGCTGTGGTCCTCGATAATCAATAAAACATTGGCGGTCGCACCAAATGATTTTTGTTATTTACAATCTAAATCTCAGGTGGGTCTGGTAGTGTCGTCGCTCGCGAGATCGTAAAGAGCGGTCGAGTTCAGTTCCTGCGTGTGTCTTCGTATGGTCGAGCCGAAGCTCGTCTCGTAATGGCTGGTCTGGCCGCCCAATCGGCTCCTTCGGGTCGTACGATTACCATTTCTTTCAAAACTGCTAGCGGTGTCGGTTCGACACACGCTCAAAGTTCTCGTGGACAGGTGACAGCACAGGTACTCGTTAAATCTGAAACGGAAATTTCTCTATCCTTCAATTACTTGGCGAATTCATTATGCAGAGAGTAACTGCAGTTTTGAAAAATTAAATCGTGGTGTGAAACAGCTCGGTGAAAAATTGGACGCTAGTTTTGTTGCCTGAAGTTTCCTTGTTAGCGAGTTGGAATATGAAATTCGAAGATGGGATATGGAAATATAGGGTGTTCAAAACAATCATAGAGTATTTATGTGGTACATTGGACACACTCTGTAAAAAAGCCTTAATAAACATTACAAACTGCGTTTTGAATTCCATACACACAAAAGATTTCATCGGCAATAATCGCTGATAAATGACTTGGAAGAATTCATTAACCGAATCAACCATGCTTGTCAAATAATTTGACAGGGATATGGAACTTTCGAGAGAGTTCGCGACTCTGCAAAAAGATGTCAAGTGTGTATGGAAATGGAAGGAGGACATCTGGACATGGGCGTGGCGAAAAAAAGTGCCATTTACACTACTTTAGAAGAAAAATTTGGATTTTTCCCCCATCCCTCGGATAAGAAATTAGATTCTGCCCCCGCCCACCCCCTCAGAAAAAAATTACATTGCCCACTCCCCTGACTGATAACCTGGTTACGCCCATGCACGTGGAACACCTTCTGTAGATATCGAGAAGCTAGATATAGTAAGTCAATGATGACGCTAACATACAAAAATGTTTATACGTCAGAAACGGTTGACCTTTTGGACTATGGTTACTAAGACTTTTCTACTCAGTATAGTGTGTCCTTTTTACCGTATGAATATTCAATGGTTTTTCTTGAACACCCTGTATAGTATTTTCTAGCCACTTCTCGGAAGGAATGGGAGCCTTGTCAAAGGTTTGCATTGTTACAGGTGACAGTGTTTGACGTCTCAAGATCATTCAGCCACCCAATTATCGTTCGACCACAGGTTTCCATTCGTCCAGGCTAATTAACTCACGAACAGTGTTAATTTTCATTCGTTTTTAGGGGTGATACTCGCCTTTTGCGAAACGTCCCGCTGACGAAGTACAGGGCTATTGGGTTCACGCAGCTGTTCACGAAGCTCAGGCAGAAACCGAGGATCCTGAAGGCGTGCCAGAAGTCGTCGTAATCCTCCTGCGACGACGGGCAGAAGTGGAACCACAGCATGAACGTGTGATAAGGTAAGAAACAGATGACGAAGATAATCACGAAGGCGATCACCATCTTTCCGACCTGTCGATCATAGGGAACGATAACCGTGTTACACCGTGACAATCGATTATCCGGTTAATTGACCGCGGAACGCTGTTATCGTTTCGAGTGACTCCGATCGTATCCACACTGATAACAGGCGCGAAGATTGATTATTTAGTTTGATGAAGAGTTAAACGCTTTATCTGCGGAATAAGTATGACTATGCATTAACGCAAATTACTTTTCTGGTTAAACTCGACCGAAGATAATATCATGAATATACGTTTAATTTAATCTATTATAAAATGTTAATGATAAATGAAGGATTTAATATCAACAGCGACGAAAACAGAAGATTGAATACAAGTATTACAGGAATGAACGAATAGGGTAACTGAAGATATTAATAATAATCCTCACGGTGGTGATTTGTCAATTATGAAGTAAATGTAAAAAGTATTGGATACATTCTGAACTTACTCTGTTAACCCTCGGACGACTATGACTGGGTCATTTGGATCCGAGCTTTCGAGAACTTCATCCAATTTGATGAAAAGGAAGCCATTTTAGACAGAAATTTGTTCAAGAATGCATTTAAAATGAGGAAAGCACTTCCAAGGGTTAATGTAGGAGTATTTGCCATAAATTGCTCAGTGGTGCTTCGATTATCGACTCGATTCGCCCAACAACCATCAGTCACTGTCACGTGCTCGTTAAATTTTCCGACGTTGTCGCGACACAATATTGCTCGGTCCTCGATACTTCAGTGCCATCCTCGACGGGTCCGTTATTGTGAACCTTAAAAGTGTCTTCTCGAACGGCTCCAATATTCGCCATCGAATTATCGGATACCGAACGGCATCGAACCGTGACAACGACGATACGACGAAACATTCCTGCCTGATACTTACTCTCGCTTCTGCTTCCTTCTCTACGACCGTTCAGCCGTTTCTTAATCCGTTCATTTCGAAAACCGTTCGTTAAGCAGTTCTGTGAAACGACGTCACCTGATCATCGAAATTTCAATCCCTCGTGATTGGAACGAATAATACGATCGATAGGCTTAGAAATACATCGGTGACAAAATCGTTTACTCGATAACGAGGAATTACGATCTGGATGGAATGTAATTCAGCCGATACCTGCGGCTAATCTCTCCCATATACGAACAACACGCGAACCGCAATTTGCCATACCTTTGAATGGGATTCCCCGGATTTTTGCAATCGACGCAATAATTTCACCTGTTTCGATCCCGTTATTATGTATTCATCGATTTCGATCATAGGACCTCCGATTTACCAGCCAAACAACCATGTATTTCGATAAGTTGGATTTATATAGATAGTACATCTTAAAGGTATGTAATTTTAATGGTTTATATCTTTAAAATTATCGAGTCTCTACACCTAATATTTCACATATATCATTAGGAATACTATCATCCTACAAAATCCTGTTTAAGTCGAAGTCGGACAATTAGGGTCCTTTCCTTGTCAGTATCGAAGAGCCTACGGACACTAATCGATGATTTATTGTATGTTGTATTTTCTTTTACTACACTCAATATTTCGTTCCATAATAAACACTCGTAGTTCTGTCAGTTTCCTCCGACAAGGCGTCAGTCAATTATCCGACGAACAGTGCGTCGTATCAACACCGAGTGAGACTTTTCCTTGCGTTATAGACGGTCCACGAAGTTTCGTTGCGCGAAGAAGAGCACGGACGAAACGAAGCAAGTTTTAAAACTTCCGGCGCCGGTGTATCGTTGTAATGGGAAGTGATTGGACGCCGCTCTTCATTCAAGACACAATGTGGAAAGTGTATAACCATGTCTGTCTAAGGCGATACTGTTTTCCCCGGTTTGTAATTAGCTCTATCTCTCGCCTGGTCACGGAAATTGCATTGTTTTACTAGCTTGTATTATCGGAAAGGTCTTACACCGTCGACACCCCGTAACAAGTGTTTGGTTAATGTTATTGCACAATCTATTTACCGGATCGTGCACGGAGATTGCGTAACTAGTAGTGGGATAGTTCGACGCGCAATTGCATCAGGCGACTTCGACGATCTAGCGCTAAACTGTTCGTAATTAGATGGGGACCATGCATACAATTGGTCTGACTCGTGTAGTTGGGAACTCGTTGACATTCGATCGACCATTCTCGAATTCGTTGACTTCCATACAACTCTTCCTATTATCGAGATCGTAGGGGAAGCTGGTAGGCTAGTTTTTTAGTGTTTGATTTTTACTAATTTGTGTGGGTGAAGTATCATTTGAGTGGCCATTATATTTGGTAAGGCATACATTTGTCTGATTAAAGGATTACAGTTGACTTAATGTGATAACATTTGAGGTATTGTAACGTTTTTACCAACTTATAACAGTGGTAATAAAATAACACATCAAGAGAATCGTTCTGTTATAAAATATTAAATATCTTTCTCTCATATTTTAGAATATGAATCAGAACTTCGAACCAGAATAAATACAATGATTTTTTAAATATATTTACTTCATTCTTTATCTTTTCACTACAATAAAAAATATATTTTGGGACAAAAAATAAAAGATACATTAAAAAGTCATTAATATTAGGCCTCTCTTTATCTCATTACCTCAATTATTAACAAAATTTCTAGGAAAGTATCGTAATCTATAATTGCCACAAAATAATCGCTAAAAATCGAAAACACCGCTAACCACCCATTCCTAAAATTATTTCCGATTCGTTGGGGTTTTCCACCACTCTGGGTCGGTGCAAAATTATTAACAATTAGTCAACCTACCCCTATAGGCAACCAGCTCCGATCTCCCCTATTTATCGTGGATTCAAGTGCTATACATTCTGCTCTTAATACCGGACAGTTAACGAGCCATCGTTGACCCCAACCGAGACGTGATTCGGATACTAGTGTTCTTTTACGCCGTTCCACAAGAAATGACGTGCATGCGTGTCTGTGTGTGTCTGCGGTTTATCGCGGTCGTACAGAGAAATTTTACGATTCTATTGATTCCTGCTCTACGTACCTTTTTCCGCGCTCTAATTTGCTCCATCCGATGACTCCCGGTGGACAGTTCGCCGGGCATGTTTCTCGTGGATAGCTCGAGGTGTCGCGCCATGCCCAGATAGAATCCGGCTATCACGCATAGAGGAATCGCGTAGTAAGCCAGAAACTTGAACATCACCATCCCTCTCTGGTATCTCTCCCCTGTGATTTGAAGAAAGGACAGTCGCGACGAGGGTGACACAGCGTTCGTATAAGAGATCTACAGTTTTATCGTCGAACAATGAGAAACTTCAGTTGTTTCTACAACGACAGAACTTTGTCAGAATTTTAATACAGTGGACTCTAACTATATTGCCACTAAATATATTGCCACGCTAGGCACTTCCCCTTCACACGTACTTTCGAGCACACAAATTCGCTCTCCCACCACGTCGGCGCACCAGCACGATCCAGCTTTTGCGCAGGTGCTGAGGTTATGACGATAGATATTAGCATGGAGGTGGCTCTGAACTCATTGCCATTTTACTCCTCTACAGCCCCAATCTTGGGAATATAGTCCACTGTACTGATTCTGTAATTGTGTAATGGAGTTCGTAGCATGTGACGAGTATCGTTTCCGTGAATAGGGATACCGTTTCCATGGGAATAAAGAGCGTGTATCGTGTATATGGTTGTGTAAAGTGGATTGCAAACTTTGGTCAAAGAACGTTAATGCCTAGTGTACTCACCGAATTCGTCGGGAAAAGGACTGCAGATCAGTATGCTGTGGTTACCCTGTAGCCGTACAGTCGGCACGTGAGAGAAAAGAGCAGCTGGCAACGCGAGAACAATCGCCAGCAGCCAAATAAGGGAGGCTGTTAGTATTGTTAATGGTTTCGCGCTCAATCCGGCTACGTGGCGGCGTATGGGATTCACGATCGCGCAGTACCTACGGTGAAACGTATATCTTCTTCTTGTGTCAATATACACACAGTGACTCATACGTTCGTTCATATACTTCTAAAATAACAATTAAGGGTAAACACTTTTAGGCAATTTCTGTACATATATCGTCTCATTGTCTATACTTTAATCATGATCGATTTTTCCTAATTTTGAAATTAAATTTGCAGTGTTGTTGCGTAATTTAGTTACACAGAAATGACAGCCTTCTGTGAACAAACTTATGGGGCACTCGCTGTAGGTATACAGAGTGATACAGAAACCGGGTTCATAACTTCCGGGGTAGATATACTCACCATACGATGAAAAAAACTGCTAATAAACATTGATCGAAAAATTAATATTTTTTACGAATACTATTTACGAATATTATTTATCCTAGAACTTGTGAACCCTTTTTTTGTATCACCCTGTATATAACATCTTAAAGTATATATAGAAGCTACGTTTTCCAATAAAATGAAAGCCATCCCGGATCAATTCGTTAACGTCGAATAAAATTTATTTCATCGTGTCGTTCTTCGAAGATTTTTCGTAGGGAAGTTTAACCGAGAATTATCATTCGAAATTTCGTTCGAATTAGACGGTCGAACGGCCAGCCGATCGTGTCCATTAATAGGGTGAAAGTTCGTCGAAGTTACAAGGGGCGACACTACCACCCCCCGTTGAAACAACAATTTCCTCGGGCATAACTGGGTTTGACAACTTACCTCTCGGCCGATAACGCGGTCAGAGTGAAAACTGAGACGCCGATCGAAATATCCTTGGCGCACTCCGATAATTTGCAAACTGCCAGGCCCCACGGCCACGACTCGATCGTGTAGAGAATCGACGTGAATGGCACACACGTCACGATCACCTGAAACACGAGGACAATCTCGATTGAGATATTCGTGGCGTCTGACGTCTCCTTGGTCCATCACGTCTTTTGCATTTGGGTACGTCGTATAATGGTCCGAAATTGCTAAAACGTGGGTAAAACCTCAAAATATACTTCAATTTAGTAAAAACAATCGGTATTTTTACGATTTCGGATCAGTATGCGCGTAGTCGACGCATTTTTCCCTCAATTTTATTTTAATACATCACTCAAGCGCCGGTTTCGTGCAATTGTGGCGGCGGAAACCGATATTCGCGGATTTGTATCGATTTAATGACTCGTGGCACGGCGCTAAAAGCCTATCAACGAGAAAAATTGACGCTGAATATGGTAAAATGACAGTAGGAGACAATAAGCGATTGACATTCGGCGCGACATTTGTATGAACGCCGTGAATTCGTCATGGACCGTTTATTGATATTTCCGTTGTTTATCGAGTTAATTGAAAGCAAAAAGATTGTTGTGACTATTCGATGTATTTCTTTTTTTTCAGTAACTTTTAAATGAACGGAAGGCAAGATTTAAATTACGATTGGTTAAGGGGGTACATGATTATTAGACAGGCAAAGTTGATGGTTTCTTTTGATAAACCAATCATCTAAAAACAAAATACTTTGGGGGTGAGTAATTTCTACACCGATGGCTATAGTATGGAACTTGACTGGGATATTTAAAGAAAACTTGTGGAAGTTACACATACAGCAATCCCTTTCTTCACATTTTCACGGGAAAAATCGCCTTCAACTATTTAAAAAAAATACAACTACAAGAATTCTATACTTTCAGTTAACATTTCAAGCGAAAATATTGATTCCTTCAAAAGTTATGGTGCACACACATACTAAAAATGTTTGAACTTCCTCATGAAACTATTTTGTAAATGTTCACAGAGGATCTCAGAATCAATAATAAAAAAAAATGATTTTTTGAAGCTTCGATAGTCCTGTACCTCCTGAAGCAATGTGAAATGAACTTCGAAGAAACGAAAATACATGGAACGTCAATTTCAATATTCTATTCTAAAAATAATCACAAATTCTGTAATTTGACAGTCATGTTGTCGACACGAATATGTCGATGAATTTTTCTCGGATTCCAACGGAGGAATATACAATTTTTTTTGCAATTTTTCAGCGGACCACATTAATCTACCAATACTTTATACTCGGATATAAATTGTGCATCGATCAGGCCGTGTGTCGAGCGTGGTTATCGAATAGAACTGGTCGTCACGTGCATTAATAATAATCGAACTCGATACCGTTTTTCCGGACCAAATGCTGAACTTTACCAAGGTTTATTTCCAAGTATTGTGTGAATAAACGTTCGTAGTAAAAACTAACAGCGTGTATACTGGTATTGGCACCGATAAATTTATCCGTTTCATCGAACAGATATGCACGAATCCTGTACGATTATTTTCAGACGACATGTGTCCCGGTGAAAGTTTTCCGATCGCTAAATGCGCGATCTAACAGACGTTCCTGCAAAAGAGCATCTCCGATAACCGTGCTCTGCACACACGTTGTATTATTTCCATGGAAATCGTTCCATCGGCTGAGCTGGATCAATCCTAACCTATACCACTTAGGATGCAATCCCAAAAAATCATATTCAACCTGTTATTTTCAGTAATTATTTAGTAATTTTATTTTATGATAATCAGAGAGTGTGTATTTTGCAGTGTTAACACGAGAATTTAATTAAAATTCTGTTTTTCAGTATCGAAGGTGAACCAAGCCTCAGCTGCGGTTCTTTCCATCGAACCTTCAATTATCCAACGAGCAATGGACGTGCAGACTTGTATTTTCGAACGTTCGTTGCAGTAAATGAAAGCTCTTGCAAAAGTGAAACAGTTATAGACGAACGTTTTGCCGTGTTAACTTGTCGAAAGACGCAAATAATTGACCTGCCAGTCAATTGCGATTTTTGCGAATTTGTTCGAGGAAAGCATTGATGATGATACACAAAATTTGACGCGACACATTAAACAGGCTGTAATTTCTTTATTTTTCGTAATTCGATTTTTAAATTTTGGGAGAATATTTTTGAAAATTAGTACCATTGCTGTATGTAAAAACAATTTTTTTTATTCTTTAAACCCGTTACACGAGAATCCACCCTTAAAGAAGTCCCGAGTTTTTCGACGATTCGATCAGCAATAATCAACCCTTTCCGTTTACTAGGTAAACTACGAAAGGGGTGGTTCATTCCTTACCAAAAGATCCCCTAAAGCCAACGATAGAACGTATGTGTTCGGTACGTTTCTCATATTGGCGTGACGCAGCAATGTAAGCACTAGAATCCCGTTTCCGGTCACACCCACCACCAGGATTAATAAGAACACCACTGGCACGATGTACGTTTCCGGTCGCTGGTCATACGGAACGTAACTGTCATCATCGTCGTCGTCGTTTCCCGGCATATTGGGAAACGACGTGGCGTTCAGCATCACTGCCATCTGTAAAGAAAAAAATAACCCAATCGTTCCCTTTTTTTTCTGAATATATCCCACGGTAATCCACTCCTCCAACGCTGGACTGAAATTCAAGGGATGATGACGATAGTGAAAGAGGATGAAGTAGCGACTTCACATCGAATTTATTTATTCTTTTTTTGGACCAACGTCGAACCGGGGAAGCAGTAAAATGAAACTTGTTTGACTGTAAGTTCGTCTATTTACAGTTCGCCCCTGACAAACGCTGGAACTTGGAACGGAACAACGGAATACCGTTCCAGCAATTTAACTGCTAAGCCACGCGGAAGTTCCTGTAATGCTCAAGAACGATAGTTCTTTAATGTTTTGCTCCGTGGCGGGAATCTTCTTTGTTCGTTGCATATTTTTCTTAAGCAGGCGCTAATTAAAACAATTCTACGAGTATTCCAACGAATGAAGTTCATCGATCATTTTTTTTCTTCGAAGCGACAGGTTTTCGTTCCGTCGAACGAATGTCTGTCTTGAAAAATTCGATAGCGGTATATTCATCGTTTTGAAGCAGTATTTTTAGATCAATTTATCAGTTTACCGCTAGTATATCCGAAACTGACGGGGATATTAACGAAACAATAGGTGGAGGTTTGAAAAACATCGGTAACGAATTTCTGCGAACGCTATCGGGCATATTGTTTTCGACAGAGAATAAAAAGCCTGGCCACTTTCGCCCCGGTATTCCGCGTCAGCTCGAGTGGCATACCCACGCGGTTTACGTGGATAAAGTAGAATAAATCGACCTTATTTTCGTTGGCAAAAATTCACGAAACTCCATGGACTGAATTACGAACGTTCGAAACAATTTCGCGCACGAAGGAAAAGAGGGGAGGGAATGGCAATGCGTAATTCCGGCGTGTGGATTCGGCTGTTAACTCGCGTCGTGAACCAGAGGCTGTGCTGAAAATACAGTCACAGAGAATCGTCAGTCAAAGTAACAAATTTTTTCTGTTTATAAATTTGTGTACTTTCTTGTTTGGTGGAGGAACGATTCCCCTCGACTTCGGGCTATCCACTAACAATATTCCAGCTATTTTAGAAATCTACGAACCTGATCGTAGAGCCTCTGTTATAGATTCGTTTCTTTCGTCATTTCTAATTTCTTTAGATAATGTCTGACAAGGGACCGCACGGAAATGTCCTCCTCCGATTTTGATGAAACTTCGTATGTCTGTTAAGCAGTCAAAAATAAGGGATACGTATTTTTTTTATCGGCTGGGACGTGATTTTTAGGGGTGGAACCAATCCTCGAAGTTTCGACCCGAAAGTACTATCTCGAAAACCAGAGGAAATACATTAAAACTAATGGACGAGGTTTGCGGTTTTTTATGTAGAATAATATGGTGCTAACAAATTGTCCAAAATATAATTTGTTATGTAATACGTATTTCCATACGTATGAATCTTTAATTTACAGTGTAAAGTTCCATCAGTCCATTGATGCTCGATGTGAAATTACATGCCTTACGAAACCTGGCCCCGACGTTTTAATATCAGTCGCCACGGAAATCCAATTTATACTTTTTCAAAGTAGCATGGCCCGGGGAAGAAAAATGGGGATCGCTCGCGACAAGCAATATTTCTTTCGGAATATCGGTAGTGGAAGGTGTCCACGTGAACTCTTTAAATGCTGTATCATGTGGGGTGGAAATGGAAGTGTAACAATTTATTTCGAACGCTGCCCGTACTTGATGAGCCGCGTGACAGTGAATTCAAGCGGAGTGGTGATGCAGTTAGCTGGCGAGGGAATTGCAGCTTTCAACGGGGTCTGTAAATTGCGAACGTCCCCCTTTTCAGTGTAATTTCGACACTCTGTTGATTTCCGGAAATATTTTTTCGAGGAAGAAGTCTTCTTGAGTTTCTGGCTTCATAGAAATGCACAGCTGAAATTGCGTTCCTCTTTCTTCGTATTACGCTTGCTTCATGCGCCCAGACGTGATAGTTTGCAACGTATTCTCTATGAGAGTGGTGTAATAATTTTTGTAAGAGGACCTTTTTTAACGTTTTGTGATTCGGTTTCGTTACGTTTGCTCCATGCGACTGATTTTATGTCTGTACTATGTAAAGTATATTTTTTTCAAGAGTATGTTGGAGAACATTTAACCCTTTAACCCCTAAGTAGACGCACTGGAAAAATGAGTAAATCAAGGGGCATTACAAAATAAAAACGAATGAGTTTGACAATGAATTTTTATTACTTTTACAAGAAATAAAAACTAAATAAATAAATCGATGTGGCTGTGACTTCATGTGTCTATTCAGGGGTTAATTATTGTTGCGACCTAGTGCAGGTAGGCGATGGTCCTATCGCGTCACCTCTTGGGTCGTCAATACGGTCGACAAAGCGTAAGAAAAATTTCTGGACAGCTGCACATCACGTACAAAATATTTACGACCCCTAAGAACCATTTTTTCAATAGTATTTCGATGCTGATTTCCAGTAATTTCAGAAACAATACACACAGCAAGCCCCACTTTCTCCACCTCGTATAACCACTTCTTTCACAGAATACACCAACCAAAATTCGGAATTTTCCACCAATCACAAACAGATCCGTACCAGGGTGTCACTACACATACAAACATCGTACAGAACACATTCAACCGCCAACGAGGACACATCTAATCAGTGAGAACCAACACAGCTAGTCCATACATATACACATACATTGTTACGTTTGTGAAAGTTTTAAGTGTGTTACCAAGTCGTGTTAAATTATTCAAATTACACCATACACAATTAATTCTTACGAACTTCGCGGTCTTAATTTATTAATAAGAAAAAATAATTTATCGTGAGTACGCAACAATTAATGTTTCTTCTTGAAGATTTCAAGGTCAGTGAAAATTTTTTTTACATAACTACGTATTTTTTCTTATTGCATCGTGTAGCTCATGAAAAAGTACATTCGTATATGTACTATGGTATGACCTTCAAAGAATATGTAGTTATTCGAAAGAAAACATCGACGATTAATACTAAAAAATATTTTAAAGTACGTATAAAATATTTTTCGCGTTTTCTCAATTAAAGAAAATGTTCTGTGGGTCATACTTAAATGAAATCACCCTGTATACCTGTAGTTACAGGGCTAATATTGTTTCTACGAATCTCACCATCAATATTACCGATCGGTTTTTCAATTTATTCAGAAACCTGCACTCAACGTCAACCTGAACAAAATAACGTTCGAAGTAACGTGATTAAGCCCATGAATGCTATAAACTCCATAAGTTTTGAATTAACGTTTAATCCAATCTGACTCGTATCTGCGGAAGTTGTTGCAATTTAAAGTTTCGCTAAGGTGCGAGATACAAACGCCGCCAGAATCCACGAACCTTCCAGCGAATCATCCGCGAGGTTGCTGGAAACTATAAATCCCGTCGAGTATTTGCGAGCGTGCATAGTTTGTAAAATTGACGTGTATGCGATCACGGAGATAAGACACGCGCAAGACCCGGTGCCAAAGGTTGACCGAAGCGAGTTGTAATTTCCCCACTAAAATTGCATTTTAGAATTGCAAATCGCGATGCACCGCTGGCGAACCATCAAGCCAGAATCGTTGAACGTTGGGAAAAAAAGGGGACGTTTACCTAGTCAAACACTTAAAAATCCCCAACCTCTACGATTTAATCGAACGAAAATCTCATATTTTTCTTTCTTTCTTTCGTATCATTTTCAGGAAACTGAGCTTATTCTGCATACGCTCGAAAGAATTTCGTTCGAAAATCGTCCCCGTTCACAGGCGTGCGTGTGCAGTTTTATCTTTCATTCTAGGGCTCGATACGGATGATACCCTTTGTCCAGCGAGATCTGCGTGTCGATATATCGAGGCTTTTTCCATAACGAATTCCATGCGAAATACAGATTAATCATATCGATCGCGATGTGCCGTACGACGTTTCTGGTACTCTCTACCGGAACAAGTAGCCTTGGGCAGGCTTGAATCCGTGCGGGGAATTATTTGCCCCGAGAATATTCATGGAAGCAACTCAGAAACTGTATCGAACCGTGCTGAATACATTTTCCGAGATATTTCTTTGAAATATCTATACGTGCTTTGATTTAACATCAGACCCTCTAAACGCAGTTAGAGTATATCTCCTTTTTTCGATACTGCAAGCCCTTGGATTATCGTGAGATATATTCGTACATAGATATTTCCTTCCTGAGATACGCGTACGTATTTTTCTGCTTACGAATCTTTAATACATCACAAATCTACGGATCTGATTATAGAATCCCTGTCACATATTCCTGATATTGTACGAGCATTCCTTTAGTTCTTCATTTCACATTTCTGTTCGTCGGTTCTTCCAGAATTTCCCGTTGCTTCACAGGCTGTAACAACATTATCGATGCACGTTTCATGACCATGCCGTTTCGCGACTTTATAGACCCCCATAACGATTCCTGTCGACTGTAAAGTGATTGCTCCACTTGGTTGACCGCGACGTCGCGTTAGGAGATCGCGGTATACATATACAGGGTGTCTCATGTAGCTTGATCACCTGGAATAATGACTTAACGGTACACTTTATGAAAACTTTGAGGCTTGCAACTTAAATGGCATCAAAGGGCACGTCTTATAAGGTACGTGTTTTTTTGTGGGTGTAGGCATTGCAGAAATTTCAAGGTCACCTTGATTTTTTTTAACGGAATGATCTATTTGTTTGTACCATAGATCGATAGACTATCAAATTTTCAATAAAAATATTTACAAAATAATCACTAGACTGTGGATTTTTATGCGAAATGGTATTTTCTAAAGAAATTCATACAGGGAAGAGCAAATGTAGGAATTTCTTTCTTTTCTTAAGTATCATATTAGATTCGAAATAATCTGGAAAACTGATTGGCTCTGACGAAAGTTTTGTTTTCTACTGTATTTTACAGACCTATATAGGCTATAAATGCATAAAATCCACAGTCTAATAATCACTGTATTGAAGTTGAGGGGCTCAGTTCGAGC